CAACAGACCTCACATCCTCTGAGGATGCCTATCATAGATGTGAGCGAAACGTCAGGAGAGAATGCTTCTGGAACAAGGCCATACAGCCTGGAAAACTCACAGCAAGCCAGTGATTCCAGACACAAAAGCCTTCGACAAAACAGATTGAATAATGTGTGCATTAGCCTGAAGGAACCCAAGCAAAGCCATATGGCCAAAAGGTCTGGTCTGGTTGTCTTGCTTAGTAACAGACCATAAGTTTTGTTAATCCACCATGAAAGCCTTTACTGAAAGTGAACTAAACTCAGGGGAAATTTTCCTCTAGATCATGTAGGGAAGGGGAAGCACATGTGCCAGATGCTCTGCTAAAGCTTTTAAAATAAAGTCAGTTCTAAATATTGTGAAAGTTAAAAAGAACTGAACTTGCCTAATACATCAATTTAGAAGTACATGGCATAACTAGCTTTCCTTCCTGCCAGGGTTAAGCAGTTCTTACTAATATATTGTGATTACATGTCCTCAGGGCAACATTTCAAATATTTCGTGAAGAACAAAACCAATATGGTGATGTAAAACTGTTGATGTGTATTGTACAGCATTGAAGAAAAGAGCCTAAACAGGAGTAGGGCCTCTTGTTTTTTCTAGCAATATACGAGGGCCTCACATTAACCAGGCGAGAGGAGAAAGATTGGAAGTACAATCTGGAATGAATTATTCAGTGGCCAGGGTAGGTTTTGATTTCCTTAGTGAGCGGTAAGCAGAACAGCTCCGAGATTATACTTAATACGTGTAGGAAAGGAAAGAAGCCATTGTTGAGGTGTTCAGAGATGCACAATTACTGTACAAGGCCTGGAAATTTGGATGACGGCTGTGAATGTCCCCTTCATATTCCAAGTGAAATTTGGATTATATGTGCTGCTGTCCACATATGTTCCATCTGTTTTGCTGCCAGCACTACTTCACTTAAAGGCTATAAACTAGACATACAAAGAGTTCTGTGATTTTTTCCCCCTACAGTGGTAATATTTAAGGTCTAGAAATTTAAATTTGTGGGTAGGTGGGAGGGACAGGAAGAAGGAGATGACTGGAAGATTGTTTTAATTTGCAAGGTAGTAGTGTTTGTAATGAGAGAAATTAAGACATATTTAAAATCAATATATTAAAAGAACAGAAAAATGTAGGGCAGAAAAGTTTTCTTGTGTGTTTAGACATGATGGTCTGTTTGCCCACATGAAATATTTGAGCTGACCGTGGGTAGAAACACAGCCCAAAGGTCAGAGCATGTACCACTAAAGAACTGCATGTCTGCAGCTTAGCAGTGCAAATGCAACCATGTTTGTGAATTAGCTCATGTGTAAATATGGAACTGCATATTTACCCTTCCCTCTGCTGTGTCCCTCTTTCTCTCTTCCTAACTTTGCCCTTCCCCTTCTTAAAATCTTGTTGCAGAGTTTGAGCTCTCCCACATGTACAGTATTGCTTTAGCATAAACGGAAGGTGGGCCATATGCAGTAGGAGAACATCTGGCTTTATAGAAAGGAAGTTTTTTTTTTTTATAAAAGCTGACATTTATAGACTTTGTACTTCCTGTGTAAAATACGACGGCACAGAGAGTTTTATCATCTTTGTTGGAGTCAGTTAGAAATTGTCATATATACTAATGTATAAGTCCAAACATTTTGGCTTATTTGGGCTGGTTTATTTATGGGTCCATCTGTCTACTGCTGTGCAACTTCAGGCCTTTTCTATTGCCAGCGCAAAGACATGGGGTCTCATCTCCCTACCAGTGAGAAAGGAAGGGTTGATTCTTCTTTTAGGTTACCAGGATGGGCTAAGGTTTCTCAACCTGGGGGGGGGGGGGGGGGGGTCACAAGGGGATGTCAGAGGGGTCACCAAAGAACATCAGAAAATGCAGTATTTTCAGTTGGTTATGGGGGTTCTGTGTGGGAAGTGTGGCCAAATTGTTGGTGAGGTTCAGAATGCTATTTGATTGTAGGAGAACTATAAATCCATGCAACTGCAACTCCCAAATGTCAAGGTTGGTTTCCCCCAAACTCCACCAGTGTTCATATGTGGGCATATTGAGTATCTGTGCCAAGTTTGGTCCAGCTCCATCATTGTTTGAGTTCAAGTGCTCTCTGGATGTAGGTGAACTACAACTCCAAAACTCAAGGCCCACCAAACCCTTCCAGTATTTTCTGTTGGGCATGAGAGTTCTGTGTGCCAAATTTGGTTCAATTCCATCGTTGGTGGAGTCCAGAATGCTCTTTGATTGTAAGTTAACTGTAAATCCCAGCAACACAAATGACAAAATCAGTCCCGTCCCCCCCTCAACTCCACCAGTATTCAAATTTGTATGTATTGGTTATTGCTGCCAAATTTAGTTAAGTGAATGAAAATTCATCCTGCATATCAGATATTTCCATTACAATTCATAACAGTAGCAAAATTACAGTTATGAAGTAGCAAAGCAAATAATTTTATGGTTGGGGGTCACCAACCATAAAATGAGGAAGTGTATTAAGGGGTCATGGCATTAGGAAGGTTGAAAACCACTGGGCTATGGTCTTTCCCATCTGGGCTGCTCAGGCAGTTTGCTCATGAGTAACCAAGTGGAATATTCTGCTTCCCTTTGCCCTGGTTGTCTCCTGTCTGACTTCTTGGTTCTGCTGTGACCACAACTGCCATTTCCTCTTGACTGGCAAGGCCCTTTGCTCATGTTCCCATTCTAACTCCTCCTCTGGTAGTGATGGCAGCATGCTACTCTCCTCTGGTTCTCGATCTGGAGCCTAAGGGTTGGTATCCTGTAGCAATGGCCTTGGAGCAGCCCTACAATGTCATTGGCTGCCTGGGAGCCAGATAAAAGGAGTGTGCTGTCAGATAAGTAGGTGAAATCAAAATATGAGCACAGAGCTTCATTGGCTAAGGAGGAAATGGCACCGTGACTGCTACAGCAACAATGGATAAGATGGAAAGTGGCTTGGGCAAAGGTGAGAGAAGGAACTGCCCCCACTTGCATATGTCAGAGTTTTTACATTATATCCTTTCTTAAGTGACAACAAGTAAGTGTAAGGATAAGGGCCAACAAGCATTAAGAGTCAAACCATCTGGCTTGTATTGAGCAATCTACAACCAGGGTGGAGTATTTGTAAGTCTACTAAAGAAACACAAGCTTTTATGTTGATGTTGTTGGTGATGTTGTTGATGTAGCTGTGTGACATCATAGAACCATAGATGTCACACAGCAACATCAACAACATCACCAACAACATCAACATAAAAGCTTGTGTTTCTTTAGTAGACTTACAAATACTCCACCTGTGTGCTGTTGGAGATGAAGCTGCAAAGAAATTGAAGGAGACCAGGGAGAGCCTTTTGCCAGAAGAAGGTATGAACTAACTGAGAGTAACAGGAAGAAGGGCTGGAGAAGAGACAAGATCTTCTGCTACACATATGTCAATATTTCAGTATAAACTTTTCTGCTGACAAGACAAGTTGCATTTGTCTGTCCCTTAATCAGAGGGGGAGTGCTTCTGCTATAGAAGCGGATTGTTTTGTTGCTACACATAGAACCCCCAAAATCTTGCTGCAACAGCATATTCATGGGGAAACTGCCCTCCCCTGCTCTGAGCAGCTCAAAAGAGAAGTCAATCACAGAGAAAAACAGTAGCAGTAAAACAACAGAATAGATATCTAACATTGTAGTAAAGGTAAAAGTTTACCCTTGACATTAAGTCTAATTGTCTAGAGTCTAATCTGACTCTGGGGACTGGTGCTCATCTCCAATTCTAAGCTGAAGAGCTGGTGTTGTCTGTAGACACCTCCTAGGTCATGTGGCCAGCATGACTGCATGGAGTGCCGTTACCTTCCTGCCGGAGTGGTACCTATATTTATCTACTTACATTTGTATGTTTTTGAACTGCTAGGTTGGCAGAAGCTGGGGCTAACAGTGGGAGCTAATCCTGCTCCCCAGATTCAAACCTCCAACCTTTCTTTCAGCAAGTTTAGTAGCTCAGCGGTTTAACCCGCTGCACCACCAGGGGCACCACAACATTATATTACACCTTTTTAAATGTCTGGACAGAAAAAGAGCAGAAGCAACAGCAGACTCCCCGAGGAAGGGATTATACTTTCTCCTCTCCATGGAATGACACTCAACATATCCATTGGTCATAGTAAAATCCATAATTTTGACCCCCAACTTTGGCTCCAAAACCTGTCCTGAACGTATATAGGAGGTTGTTCTGTCGCCGCTGGGCCTATAGCTAGTTGACTTTAGATATAGGATGTGTAACCTTTACCCAGTGGGAAGCCAGGGGCCCTAGGAAAAGTTCTCAGAGGCTTCCTTTACAAAAGGAATCTTCAAATGGCTTAAAAGGTACAACAAAGTCTTTTATTAATGAATCCAACAGGAATTGTAAAGCTTTCTTGGCAAACTATCAGTTCTCTCAAACTTGTCCACAGGGAACAGGCACTATCTTCAATAACTTTCTTCAAAGGAAAATCCCCCTTTTTAACTTCTCCCAAGGCTAACTAAAATCCAACCCTTACTGGTGTGGGCTCCTCTGCCAGGACGAACTGCTTCTCGAAACACTGAGAGGACCTACCTGACAGGCAATGGATGTTCTTTAGAGTTTCAGGCTGTCTTCCTGGAAACTCCCAAGGCTGTAGTTTAAGTTTTCTTGCTCAAAATTTGCATGGACTTTCAGATCTAGAAATTAGTAGCTTTTTTAGTATTGTAGTATGTGGTCGTCGTATAAATTTCTGTTAGTGTTGAGGTAAACACACTTGTTTTAGTTTGACCTTGGATTTTTTGACTAATCACATTTTGGCAAGAGTTAGTTACATTTGAGAAGAAATCCATATAGTTCAGCTACATGGAAATTCTCCTTCAGTGACTTCCAGGAATGCCCAGGAACTAGGAGAAAGCTAGCTTTTGTACAAATGAATTGCCTGAGAAATTCCTCAATGTGCTTCCCTTTTCTGATTTTCAGTCTTGTTTTATTACTCTTTCTGACTAGTATATTGACTATTGAAGGAAGTCATCATCCCATTCTACAATATTCTACATCGGTCAGATCTCACATAGAATACTGTCCTGTTCTGCGACCACAATTCAAGAAGAACACAGACAAGCTAGAGCATATCCAGAGAAAGGCGACCAAAACTATGAAAGGTCTGGAAGCTAACCTGTACGAGAAGTGCGTTATAGAGCTGGGTAATGGGGTATGTTTTACTTGGAGAAGAGAAGGCCAAGAAGGAACATGATCACCATGTTTAAATATTTGTAAGGATATCATATTGAGAAGGGGGCAAGCTTGTGGTGTGTGTGTGTGTCAGGAGCTACTTGAAAAACTGCAAGTTGCTTCTGGTGTGAGAGAATTGGCTGTCTGCAAGGACGTTGTCCAGGGGACACACAGATGTTTTGATGTTTTACCATCCTTTTGGGAGTCTTCTCTCATGTCCCTGCATGGGAAGCTGGAGCTCCAGATTCGAACCTCCGACCTGTCGGTTTTCAGTACTGCTGGCACAAGGTTTTAACCTATTGCGCCACCGTGGGCTCCTATATTGTAGGCAGGCCCGTAGCCAGGATTTTGCTTCGGGAGGGGCTGAGCTTGATTCGGGGGGGGCTGAGTCTGAGTGAAAGAGGGTCTACCTAGCAAACCTTTTGTATCGTTACCCCTATACCCCCATGCATATGGGATATACTGAGCCTTTATTTATTTACTTTATTTATATACCGCTTTTCTCAGCCCTCAGGCGACTCAAGAGCATGGTGATCAGATCATGATATGAATAGACACAACAGTTTAAATAATGTACCAGTAAGGCCTTCTCGCGGACCAACATGACAATTGGGGGGGGGGGCTGAAGTCCCTCAAGCCCCCCCCCCCCCCCCCCCCCCCCCCCCCCCCCCCCCCCCCCCCCCGGCTACATGCCTGATTGTAGGTTATTTGTTACAAACAGGCGTATCCATGGGTTTGAAGGCATAGGATTGTGAAAAAGTGAGAATATGGCAGTGAAGGAATGAATGAGAATGCTTTCCACGTAATGAAGAAAAGCAGGCCTTATGAGAAAGTCAATGAACTATTTTCTCCTTGACTTCTGGTTAGTAAAATATTGCTGTCATTGGAACTTGCCTGCTGCTGTATTTTCAGCCTACGCTGTTTGCTGGTGTTACTGTTTGGGTTCTGAAATGCTGCCAGGCAATGTTGTAAAACGATGTCAGTTTGGTGACTTAAGCCATCACATTATTTTGTGTCCTGTGATCTCTGAATACTTTTCTTACCCTGCCCCCTAGGTGTCATATGACTGAATAGGAAATGTAGATTTGTAAAAAGCACTCTGCCCTTTCAAGCATATTTTCAAGGAGACTTGCACTTGCTATTTAGCAGAAAGCCTTTGGAATCATAGCTTTCAAGCATCTGAACATGTATTGTAAACTGATGTTTAAACTGGTATCAGAGGGGTGCATTGTATAAATGGTTATGCTTAAAAACAGACTGAAGTGTACTGAGGGATTAAATCATGTAATATTTATTAGATACAGTTGTATTCCATAATGGGTTAAACTCTTGTGCTGGTGGGACAGCTGACCAAAAGGTTGGTAGTTCGAATCCTGCGAGTGGGGTGAGCTCCTGTCTGTCAGCTCCAGCTTCTCATGTGGGGACAGAGGGGTCGCCAAAGACCATCAGAAAACCCAGTATTTTTTGTTCATCATGGGGGTTCTGTGTGGAAAGTTTGGCCCAATTCTATCGTTGGTGGGGTTCAGAATGCTCTTTGATTGCAGGTGAACTATAAATCCCAGCAACTGAAATTCCCAAATGTCAAGTCCCCCCCCCCCCCAAAAAAAACAAACAAAAACAAAACAAAACTCCTCCAGCATTCACATTTGGGCATATTGAATGTTCATGCCAAGTTTGGTCCAGATCCACAGTGCCCTCTGGATGTAGGTGAACTACAAATCCAAAATTCAAGGTCAATGCCCACCAAACCCTTCCAGTATTTTCTGTTGGTCATGGGAGTTCTGTGTGCCAAGTTTGGTTCAATTCCATCGTTAATGGAATTCAGGATGCTCTTTGATTGTAGGTGAACTATAAATCCCAGCAACTACAACTCCCAAATGACAAAATCAACCCCCCCCCCTCGACCCTATCAGTATTCAAATTTGGGCATAATGGGTATTTGTGCCAAATTTGGTCCAGTGAATGAAAACACATCCTGCATATCAGATGTTTACATTATGATTAATAACAGTAGCAAAATTACAGTTATGAAGTGGCAACGAAATTAATTTTTTGGTTGGGGTCAGGGTTGTGGCATTATGAAGGTTGAGAACCACTGTTTTGACAGGTAGGTCAGGCTAATATAAAGTAACTGGCTAATGTTCACCCACTGAATTTCGGACCTCCATGGATGCCTAAGATCCCGCACCATTTAAGATGAAGCCTTTCATCTATTTTTCTGGTTCTGGGCATTGTATTACATGCTTTTTATAGCACTTCATTGCACCGAGATGATGAACCGGCACAGTAAAAGCTTTATCACCATGTGATACATATTGCCTGATACCTATTGATGGGTAAAATTGCAAAGTGCTTGTGAAAAAAATAAAAAAATAAAGACCAAGGAGGGATAATGGCACAGTGGGATAGTAGAGTTTCACTGCCCACCTGGAATTGCAGCTTCGATATCATCTCAGTTTGCTGTGCAAAGCTGACTGTCACCATAACAGTAAATTGCTACTATCCTGCATTGCGCAAATGGCACAGAATGGAGAAAGCATGTGGTAATGTCCTTAGGCAGTGGTAGCATCTGCTATGTTGTGATTGCGGCCTACACTCCATTTTATTTAAATGAATACCACTAAGCTTTTCATTCAGCCATATTCCGGGAAAAATTATAATGTACTGTTATTAAATTACTACAAATTGCATCTTATACAAATCCCTAAAATTGAAAGGGGTTTGTGTAGACTTTGACTGTGACACGATCATGGTATCCAAACAATGTAACATTTTTCAATTTCCAAAGGAGTTTGTAAGTTTTCTTCTGTTCATACTCATTTTGTCTTAGTTCCCAGGCATAGGCCTAGGTCTTTATCAGCGTAGAATAACATGAGATGTGGGTCTGTTCTGTCATGTAATCTCATTATACATCAAGGATTCTCATTCCTGCATGCCATTATTTTAAAGAGGCTGTTGGAGAACTTCCAGGATGGGGAAATATCTGATTAGAAGTAGAACCAAGAAAAAGTAATTGTGATCCCTGCCTTGGTTATATTACTATCTCTCTCTCTCTCCCCCCCCCCCTCCCCCAAACACACACACACCCTGATACAACATTTGCAGAAAGAAAATGTTTATATATGAGAATGTTTGGATATATTTGTAACTCCTGACTAGAGTAAATGGACTGAATCCATGGAAACATGGTAAATCACCACTCCTGTAAATTCTGTAAATTTACCTTTCACGGAGACTGGTAATTGGATTTAGGCCTGAATATTTCCATTCACATCCCAAGTTGGCAAAAGCAGCACTGTATTACTTTTCTGATTCTTAGCCTCCCCCCCCCCCCCACATCATCAGGCTGACTTTGAATAGGGGTGATGTAGCTATAACATAATCAATCCTCTTTTAATTGCTCTAACAGCAATTTATGAACTTTTGTAGATTGTTTGATATATCTTTGCTGCTCTAGGAAGTAGCCAAGCCTTGAAGCTGCAAGGCTATTAAATGCTAATCAAGGAAATCAATTGCAACATCCACACTTGCCTCAAGCAGACAAGAGTTCTTTCTCTCACCCTGGACATTCCACAGATATACTTGCCTAGTTTCCAACAAACCTCTGCAGTGCTACTTCCAACAAATGCTACGTTCAGCAAAGGACAAGAGGGATCCTCTCACCTCTGCAGGAGTCTACCGTATACCATGCAGCTGTGGACAAGTCTACATAGGGACCACCAAACGCAGCGCCCAAACACGAATCAAGGAACATGAAAGGCACTGCAGACTACTTCAACCAGAGAAGTCAGCCATAGCAGAGCACCTGATGAACCAGCCTGGACACAGCATCTTATTTGAGAACACAGAAATGCTGGACCACTCCAACAACCACCATGTCAGACTACACAGAGAAGCCATTGAAATCCACAAGCATGTGGACAATTTCAACAGAAAGGAGGAGACAATGAAAATGAACAAAATCTGGCTACCAGTATTAAAAAACTCTAAAATTACAACAGCAAAACAGCAGAGAGGAAACAACCAGGCACATCTTAACACCTCTCAACAAAAGATTCCCCCAGGCTCAGCCAGGCCTTCAAATGCTAATGAAGATGGTCAGTTGAAACATTCACACCTAGCTCCAGCAGAGAAGAGCTCTTTGCCCCACCCCAGTCATTCTACAGATATATAAACCCATTTTCCTAACTCCAACAGACCTCACTACCTCTGAGGATGCTTGCCATAGATGCAAGCGAAACGTCAGGAGAAAATGCCTCTAGAACATAACCATATAGCCCGAAAAAACCCACAAGAACCACAGTATTTTCTGTTGGTCATGGGGGTTCTGTGTGGGAAGTTCGGCCCAATTCTGTCATTGGTGGGGTTCAGAATGCTCTTTGATTGCAGGTGAACTATAAATCTCAGCAACTACAACTCCCACAACTCTATTTTCCTCAAACTCCCAGTGTTCACATTTGAGCATATTGAGTATTCGTGCCAAATTTGGTCCAGATCCATCATTGTTTGAGTCCACAGTATTCTCTGGATGTAGGTGAACTACAATTTCAAGACTCAAGGTCAATGCCCACCAAACACTTCCAATATTTTCTGTTGAACATGGGAATTCTGTGTGCCAAGATTGGTTCATTAGGCATTTGGAAGGTTGAGAAACACTGTTTTATACGTTGGTCTCTGGGAGGACTTTTAAGCTTGTAGACTTTTCTACATTAATGTTTTCTTTACAAAGCTGCAAAGAGCCTCAGGGAACTGTGCATGAAGATTGCACTTAGATAATTGGGATTACCGGAACTAAAGCAGGAGCAAAGGTTTTTCTTTATACACTCTTCCTGCTCATCTGTTTGTGCAGCCTGTGCCGTTCTAGACTGCTGAAGCCTTTTAATACAGAAAGGTTGCAGCAAATGTATGGTTTTATTCTGCTGTCAAGCTC